TTGCAACGCCACAGCCTACCTGAGTATTGTTGCTGACCATGTCCATCCCTTTATGACCACAAAACCGTTACTAGCGTGGTGTACCTAATAAAGTGGCCGGTGAGTGTATACAAACAAAGGGGATGAGAAAATGAACTACAGCTGATGAAAACACTAATTGGGAGCTACTGACAGGTGTGTGTAATTGACTGAGGGAAGTGACAGGTTAACTGAGGAATAATGATAATGGGGAAAAAAACACCAGAGGGAGATAGACACAAGACAACAGAAAACACAATCCTCACAGTAACCCCCCTACAAATCATCAGCAGATGATTCGACAATGGACACGGGTGGGTGGTACCAACACAAAGACAGGACGGAGGGCACGAGACAAAAGACAATGAAGGAAACACAAAAAAAACCCAAAAAAAAAAAAAAAAAAAAACAAAAGCACACACACAAAAAAATTTTAAACCAAAAACCGACAGGTAAAAAAAAGTCCTGGGAAAAACAACAACAAAAAAAATCAGACACAGATGGCCCAAGGCACATCTGAAGAGCTCAAAGAGTTCGGGTGGCCGCCCAGGGACCCAACAGCGATGAGGAGGAAGCTCCGGAGGGCGGCCGTGGACTTGGCCACAGCGAAGGCGGAGCTCTGGAGGACGACCGTGGACTCGGTCGCAGTGAAAGCGGAGCTCCGGTGGGTGGCCGTGGACTCAGCCGCAGAGGAGGCGGAGCTCTGGAGGGCGGCCGTGGATCAGACCGCGTCGGAGGTGGTGCTCTGGAGGACGGCTGTGGATCCAACCGTGTTGGAGGTGGAGCTCAGGTGGGCAGCTTTGAGCCCAACCGCGGTGAGGATGGAGCTCTGGTGGGCGACCTGGAGCTCTGCCACGGTGAGGATGGAGCTCTGTAGGGCGATGTGGTACTCGGCCGCTGATAATAGGGATCTCAGGTGGGGCCGGTACTGGAGACTCTGGAGGGGCCGGCTCAGGAGACTACGCAGGGGCCGGCTCTGGAGGCACTGCAGGGGCCGGCTCTGGAGGCACTGCAGCTGGTGGTGAGACCTGAGCTGCAGACGGCAAGGACTCAGCTGCAGACGGTGAGGGCTCATCTGCAGATGGCGAGGAGTCAGCTACAGGCGGCAAGGAGTCCTCAACTGCATCAGGGACCAGAGTGAATTTGGGAGCAGAGACCAGCTTAGAGATATTTAGAGCCTCAGGCAGACCCGGGGACTTCACAATCTGATCTAGGGGTTCTGCAGACTCAGGCTGACCAGGGGACTTCACAATCAGACCCGGGGGCTTTGTAGACTCTAGTGCTGGCTCTGGCTCAGAGGACTCTGGCTCTGGTTCTGAGGGTTCAGGTGCTGGCTCCGGCTCCAAGGACTCAGGTGCTGCAGCAGGTATGGACAGCATCTCCACAAGAGCTGCCAAGATGAAAACTGTCACAGCAGCCAGGGTGTCAACCACCACCACCTCCCTCCCCTCATGATCCTCCTCACAGGAGGTAAACACGTCGACCCTCTGAAGAACGCAGGAGGCAGTAGAGGCATCGACCATCTGGGGAGCGAAGACGGAAGTGGAGGCATCAATCCTGGCCGGAGGTCATTATGGTGGAATCGATTCTCTCCAGACAGGGCCAGATTAACACTTCCCTGTACCCTGGGCAACAATATTCAAGGGCCCCATCATTACGACCCCAGGAATACCAGTCTGGCAAAATACAGAGTAAATTATTGCAATATATAGTAAATATACTCAATACTTCAATTTCTAAGTGTATTTTGATGTACAAATGCTCATAGAACTACAAATACACTATTATGTTCTCTTGTCAAGGACACTCCTTCACATGATGGTTTGAAAACAAAACACATCAGTATAACCTGGTAAACATGACCCACATTGAGATCGAGGGACGTGTCCTCCATTTTCACAAAAGCAACGCTTGACATTACACAACCCTATCAGTCACCTGACCCACCTCATGCGGACTGACCAATGAGGAGAAGATCTCAACTCATGTTCACAGTGACAGGCAGCCTCTCTGTGCAGCACAAGAGCTCCAACAGACAGTTTAACAAAAGCAGGAGAAAACCAGACATTTTGCTGGTGCCTTCACTCAAGGGCGTAACAATCATCTCAGAAGAGAGGGGACACATTTTTTAGAGGTCTATTGAGTGGTTTATCATCCTCTCTTATTAAATCACACTTCTCCTTAGTGGCTAAAACACATATAAATACTAACAGCCACAGTAC